ATAGCTGTCTACTGCTTCTAATCATAAATAAAGTTGACCTTCACTACCACAATGAAGTTCACTCATTAAGCCTAATGAGTGAAACACAAACACAAAACGAATTGTGTAAATTAAAACAATGAAAAAAAACGATCAATAAACAGCACTACGGTTTAGATGAGGGAAAAAATGGGATACTTACAAGAGCTTGGCTTTGTTCTAGCTGATATAAAAGCTTCTTTCATTTCGTGATTTTTACCGACTACAACTACTTTAATAAAATAAGTAGTATCTTGATCTAGATTGGAGTAAAAAAAAATTTAAAAACAACGAAATATGAAAAACATTACATCAGTACATCAAGATGATTGCTTACAATGGATATTGATGTCTGGTTTGGATGATGCATTCATACGCACACAAAAACCAACACTTAAATTAACGCAGTCAAACTTAGTGTGTAACGTAATACAGAGATTAATCAAATCAATGTCATATATATCACTTGCCCTCCTCAACCGATTGGATCATTAGACTCGCTGAAATAAAACTGAAGGTTCCCGAGATAAAATGTGGCATTATTTTATATAATCATTGATTGTATGAAAAATCTAGGTAGATGAGGACAAACTGGTTGGATTCCAAAAAGCACGTTTCGTTCTATTTGGGATTCATAAAATAAATGGACCTTGGTCCTAGTGATAATAATCAATTTGGGAATCAAACTCATTACCCTTCGTTTGAAATGCCCAGATAGCACATTTGCTTGTTCGACAGGGATGTTTGTGATTGATAGCATTCTCAAGCCATTTGGTTCTCGATAAACATATTCCAAAACAAGTGTAGCAAGTGTAACTAATACGTATATTTTCTTCAATTTTAAACAATTCATCACTGCCATACAGTATACTCAGGGGTTTGAACAATACTTCAGTTGCATGAAGGCTAAGGATACTCTACTGGGCTGGTCATATCAACTAACTTCAATACTTTAATTCCACCTAGGCTATTGGTGACTCGAAAAAATTTGTATAACAAACTTTCGATTTCTTTCACAATTTTCTCGAAAAAAAACCCAATTATTATCACAATTAATTTATTAATTTTTAAACAAGAAACCTTGAATCGAAAAACCTGTCAACTTGAATATCAATTGTTCATTTCCTATAGCCAAGCAAACACAAACACACAGACACAGACAGATAGACAGAAATGGACAGAAAACAAATCTATCATGAAGAAAATTAATAATAATAATAATAATAATAATAATAGAATATCATTTACCTAATTTTTGTATGGAATAAGTAGTTTGATTTTTTGGCAATTCTACAGAATCTGGTCCAGGATGCATTTTACCCCAAGCAATTATATAATGTGATATATCGATTTCATGATTTTTAGTTGCTCTTAATGGAGAGTTATTTAAATGCTTATTCCTACGATGATCATTATTAACGCCAGTAGGCGAAGGAACAAAATGACGAGAAATTCCCGATGAAGAATAAGAAACAATTGGAGGTGACCACATTATTAGTAAACTTTGTTCTTCCGCTAAAACTTGAAGATTTTCAACCTGACAAAAGAGAAGAACAGTACAACATATATAACATAAAATAAATTATAGTTTACGGTTAGAGAAACAACAATTAGCGGCTGAAATGGTTACTGAGTCAGTCAGTCAGATGCAACGTAGAACTTTGTACATAAGTACATCAGTTCATGTTGCCAAACCGCACTAACACAGAGACACAATTGTCAATTCAAATCCAATAGTAGTAGAGGTAGTAAAGGTATTAGAACTAATCGGAGAGGTTAGGATTGGAAGATATGATTCAAGAAGTATGATTCAGTGAGATAAGTTTAGAAAGACAAAACTAGAGATGTTGAAGAATCCAGAAGATTAGGATTTGCGAGAACACAAAGAATAAATGCATGGGCGCCATTGCAAACGGTTTTCAACCATGTCATTCAGGGTCTCTAACCATCGATTACTATCATCTCGCGAACTCCAACCAAGTAGTCGACAACTACCAACATGACTCAGTCCACTTGCCAATGGCTTCATGGATTTGTGCCATGTTTTGGTCAAACATGGTTACAAATTTTATGAATAAGTTTAAACATATAAATATCGGCAAGTAAAAGAGGATACCAATATATATATATATATATATATATATATATATATATATATATATATATGCTCAACACAGCTCTATCTGGAGCCCTTCTAGAGTTATTGTCGGTTCCAAACCCAGATGAAGTAGGAGAGGTTAGGCTACCTTATCGCGTAGAAATCCAACTGGCTAAAAAATTACGCTAATCAGGGAAATAATTTGCTAGTTAGCGGCATATGCTGCATTAGGGGTGACATGAGTAATTAAGTAAGTAAGTAATGTGCTCAAAACGTATCGGTAAATTGGTGTGTAAGATGTGATATCTTCCTCGGTTGGTAAAATTGAAACAGGAGATTTGAATGTTGAATATTTCAAGACGCTGATTGCTAATGACATGTTATATCACTCAATCAGAATTTCTTCCCTTTGTTTATCACTTCTTTCGATGACTTGACGCTAGATAAAGTTGTAGAGATCCACCAATACGCAAGTCTTTTTTGTTATTGAAAACAAAACAGCGCACAACTCCTATTATACATGACGGTTTACAAACAAACATACTAGGTCACATCACATGGATGAGTTCCTGTACTAAATGTGTTACGATTTCAGGATCGCAAAACCTCTTTCTAATCTTGAATAAGTGTACTCACTTAAATTTTCTGGTTTGTGTAATCAATTCTTATTCTATATAAGTTGTTTTCTGGTTAGCTGAAATTTCTCAAATTCATTGGAAAATTTGTTCATACATCGTTTGTGAATTATTAAAAGCTCATTCAAAGTTCTAATAAAAAAAAATTCAACCGTTCAACTTTAAAATTCATTCATTCCATTGAACCCAAGGCGCTAAATCTATTTTCTTTTAGAAAGAATGCTAATAAAATATTGGTCAAGATTTGGTTTCCTTATACTCACTTACTACTGTTACCCCTAATGAAGAGCACCGGCCAACGACCAACATTTTCCAACCTGTTCAGTTCTGGGCTTCCTTGAATAAATAAATAGATATTTATCAAACAGTTGTGAAAATGGTTGTTTTACATTGAAATCATGAATCAATCATTGTTAGACCATCATTAAAACCTACAAGCACTGAAAGGCCATTCCTCCCTAGTATGGGGCTCTTCAGATGTGCCATATCCATGACACGCGCTAGCGAGGATTGAACCCTGCAGTCTTGAACGCGAACGCTTAACCTCTAGACCGCACAAAATCTTAGATTGATAAAAGTTAGGCACTAACACTGCTGGACACAAAAAATAACCCAAGGGGGAAGCAGTAAAACAATACTCTCTTTATGAAATCAAAACTTCTTACTTACTGGTCCTAACACAGGATTGTCATTATTTGGCAACGAAGATGATTGACGATGTTCAATAATAGGAGCACCGTAATCCTCTAATGAAGCATCCTAATTATTAAAAAAAAACAGAAACACTGTTGACAAAATACACGCAAGTCATTCAGTCAGACAGCCGGTCAATTACAATGTAGAACTTGGTATGTACGTACGTGCATGTTCAAGTTTCCATACCACATTAGCGCACAGAGATCTAGTTGTTAATTCAAATTCTATGGTAGCAGAGGTAGTAGAAGTATTAGCGGTAATGGAAAGGATTAGGGATCGAAGAAATGATTGAAGAAGTATAATCCACTGAGGTGAATTAAAAAGGAGAAAGATAGGAGTCAAGAGTAACTGAGAAGAATGGACGCATCTACGCCATTGCAAACAATTCTGGGCAAGGTCGTTCTCTATTCAGCAGGAGAATTGCATCCCGAACATGCATGCATTGTTGCTTAAGGTGGTCAGAAGAATGAATTTCGTTAGTGTCTTCACCCAATAGAACTATGTCACGGCATATTCTAAGGTAACAAGCGAATCTGTTGGCAGACGGTCAACTCCTGACACAAACAAGTGAACGACGAATAGTTTGCTGTCATATAGAAAATTGCTAATACCGTAAACAGTGATAACTTTCGGTGACTAGTTTTCGCTGAATTGTTCATATTTTCCGTGTAAAACGAACCGGATTCGATCTAAAAAAGAAATCAGATTTAAGTGCTGGAGGCGGGTAGGACACACATTATGGAAATAACCTAACTGTGTCACATGGCAAGCTCTAACTTGAAATCCTCAAGGTCAACGGAGAAGAGGAAGATCAAAAAACACAGTAAAATGAGATTTTGAAGCAGACATGAAAAGATTGAACAGAGTTTGACACTTAACGCTTGAACAGGATTCTCATTGAATATATTAACAAAAACACCATATGATATCATTCATACAAGTAGTTTTAACTCATGTTTAATCATCCTTCTAGGGAAACACCAACAGAGAGAAAAACTGTCAACTCTTTTAGTACCAATCAAAAAAGAAGAAAATGACAACATACACTAGATAACATGTATCCATCACTATTATTCTCTGCGTCAGCATCTGCTTCATTCTTTTGAGTCATTGTAGTAAATTTTACAATTTCTGAATCAGGACCATTACCTGCTCGTGTAGCCGCTGAAACTGATAATTCATATTCCATACCAGAAGTTAAACCTGTAAAGAAGATACAAACGATAAAAACAGTAGGTAAACTTTCAACAAGCAAAAACTCCTTAAATTAGTCAAAGTCAATTTATAGGTTCAAATGCTACACAGGAAAGATGTCGATTCCCTCAACCATCATGATGTACCTCTGATACTCATAGGAATGATCCTTCTCCTTATGGGATTCGAACAAGTACTAAACAGTAGCCTCTTAGTCTGAGACGTTGCCAATGATACATTCAAGCTGAGACGAACGATCTGTAGGACTGACATGTATTTACTATTGACGAATCACTGAGTAAGGACCAATGTCATAAGAAGGTGTTTGGAGGTAGTCGACAGGAAACCATGAATCTAGGTTTTGTGTTATTTGGCACTCGCTAATAAGGAAGGTGTACCTGTAATCTTCATGGAACTGATGTTGAACCACCTAAATTGGTGACCACAGTGCAACTTGATCAATCAGCACTAAAGAACCACTGACATACATGATATTGGTGTTAGAATATTCATCCAATATCCCAAGAGAATTATTGGTCAATTCCTATTGGTTAATTCCTACTGGTCAATTTTATGGTCGTCCTAGATATCAATGTCACGTGCTCCAATGTTGTTCCTTATTGGTTTCCCTGACTATCAATGTCACTTCAAATCTTGCTTCCTATTGGTCGTCTTAACTGTCATTGTCACAGACTTCGATGCTGTTTCCTATTCGACCAAAATGTATAAATACGCATTATCTGTAACGTTTATGACCCGGACCCGGATCCTTAGTCCGAGATCCTGATTCTCTTCTGAACTAGGACCTCGTACTTTCTGAATGCTTGCAGAATACAGGTTCTACTTCATATCAAGTCTTGTCTCATATTTACTCAATATGCGGGTTGGGATAATCGGATTTGAGTAGCATGTCATGTCACCGGATCCTCGATCCTCGCTCTCGCGTTTCCGACTAGGTAAACACTCGTAATAGTTCAAGTATATCAAGTTGACGTGTTTACGTGCAGGCGTAACAATCAGTCATTATTATCCAATGATCTGATCTACCTGCTGTAAACCAATGTCATAAATGCGCGAACACGTAAAAATTGAAAGAATTATTTGAAAATAAATAGACACAAAAACACACACACACAGAGAAAACATACCTTTTATTAATTGACTTAATTTATTCTGTACCATAATATAACGTGAATGTAACCAATCATCACATGAAATATTAATACGATAAACAATTAATTGACCATTTCTATATTTCAATGGAGGTGGTCGCCATGCTACAGTAGCTACATAAGCCCCGATGGAATGTACATGAAGCTTGATTGATTGATAGACACATATATAATCGTGAGGAATTGACGATTGAAAACAAAACAAAACAAAAATGATAATTTTTAATTTTACAATATAAAATATCATAATGTATATATTACTGATTAATTGAAAGAGGAAGAAGAGAATAAAGTAGATTCCAGCAGAGGAAGAAGTGTGCTGGAGGTGGATAGGATACACAATGAGTAAATCACCCAAGTGCGTCTCATAAGGCAAACCTTCACTTGGAATCCTTAAAGCCAAAGGAATAGAAGAAGAAGAAGACCAAAGAATACATTGTAGACATGAAAAGAATGAACAACAGTTTGGTGGAACTATTGGACTCTATTTCTCTCTCTCTAAGTAGTTTAAAAGTTAGACGTTTGACGAATAATAGAGAAGATTTGCATGTAAGATGAATTGTTTTAGTGTTATTGAATACAACAATGCAGTAAAGGTTGATAATAGTATTCAGAATGATAATAAACACTTCCTATTTAAACAATCTTGCTTCGAGAAATGAACAGTCATCAAAATTTATATATAAAAGGGGCAGAAATAATGACATGAGTTTTGTTCTTATGTTGTACTCGTCAGCTGAAAGTACCTGCATCCCAGTATTGATTTTCGCCAAGTTGGAACTTGAATCCAGTACTTATAATTTCAAACATTAACACATAATGACATGCGACTAAGTTAAAATGGCTATATCAACGCAATCCACACACGATAGGACACATATACGAACAAAGACCAATAAAAATTCAGTTCCTCGATGTGTATGTTATATATTTATATGCATCCACTCAATCATAATTTTCATTTCTTTTTTATAGAACTCAGAAGGGATCTTTAACTAGGTCACTCACATTATACTACATAAAGCAAATTACTTTAACTCAGCCCTACTGTAGTGTATATATCGGGGTTTTGAACTCAGTAAAACATTCTTGTTCCGATAATCGGCCATTATCATTCATTTTCAGCAGTCATACCTGAACAACTCTATACCAAATATAAAGGTTACCAGATAAAAAAAATTGACTGAAGTGAGAGAAATGTGAAACATTAGAAGCCAGCTCATTGGCTTAAGTCAGACACTTACAACGTAGGACTTTGTACGTACATACATACATCAGTTCAAGTTGCCATACCACATTAGCACAGAGACGCAATTGTCAATTCAAATCTAATTGTGGTAGAGGTAGTAGAAGTATTAACAGTAATCTGAGAGATTAGGGTTCGAAGATATTATTCAAGAAGTATAATCTAGTGTCTGTGGCCTAATGAAAGCAGATTTGTTGCAAGGTCTGACGGTTGTATAGGTGCGTAATGCTGAAAAGTCGACTACTAGGAAGATATATACGCTTAGTAATTTCTCAAATAAACAATCTTTCTTAGTGCTTTTGGTATCCAGAGTAGGCGTTTTATCTTATTTAGGACTCTTCGCTTAAATGTACCTACATCTGCATTTCCATAATGATTTTCATTGCACCAGTACATGAACTTAGTACTTCTCATCATTCACTGAATTACTGAGTTCACTCACATAGTCGCTGAATCGTTTAACAAGGCTTATAATTTTCTATTGTTAATATTCAAGTCTGAATTTCAGTTCATTTCTGTTTGTCACATATACATTTTCGAACGAATTGACACGATAAAACATTACACGGTTATATACAATAATCATATAGGAATAATAACATTACTACTCTCATGGCCACTGAGAGTAGAAGATATTCGTAGGTTACTGGTTTTCGATCATAGGTGTCTTCGAAGCATTGCTCGTATATCGTGGGACAACCGAGTGAGCAACGCTGTTATTAGGAATTGGGTGCTAGGTAAGAATGGCAGATCAACAGACGCAGTAGTGACACTTCATCAGTTGAGGTGGTTGGGACATGTGTTGCGTATGCCTAACCACCGACTGCCTCGTCGAGCTTTGTTTTGTAGTGTAGGAATAGGTTGGAAGAAAGTTAGGGGCGGCCAAACCAAAACATGGCAGAAATCCATGAAGTCATTGACAAGTGGACTTAGCCATGTAGGTAATTGTCGACTACCTGGTTGGGGTCCGCGAGATGATAATAATCGATGGTTAGAGACATTGAACGACATGGCTCGAAATCGTTCGCAATGGCGCAGGTGCATTTATTCTTTGTGTTCTCTCAAATCTTAATCTTCTGGATTCTTCAACACCTCTAGTTTTTACTTTCTAAACTTTTCTCATTTAATCATACTTCTTTAATAATATCTTCCAATCCTAACCTCTCCGATTACTTCTAATCCCCTTACTAACTCTTCAACTATTGGATTTGAATTGACAATTCCATCTCTGTGCTGGTGTGGTATGGCGACATGAACTGATGTACTTACGTACGAAGTTCTACGTTGCATCTGACTGACTGACTGACTGACAAAAATTATATCAAACTATCTTGACTTACATTCATTGGTGATTTTGATGGCGGTTTTGAAGTGACTCGTGGTGAAGATGTTAAATAAGCCACATGACCAGTTATATTAGATTCAGTGATAGGATAAACAGTAATTTGATAGAAAGCATCCGGTGTTAAATCTAACACAGTATAACTTAATCGATCCCCATTATTGATAAGTGTCAAATCTGATGTACGTATATTGATTTCAATTGGTGATTTATTAGTTATCAGATCGTCAGTGGTGGAAGAAGTAGTAGTAGTAGTAGTAGTGGTAGTAGTAAGTGAACGAAGTATAATTCTGTCAATTATGAAAGAATATAATACAATGTGTATAAGTTTATGATTGGTTAACAAATAATAATAAGTTGTGTGTAGAATATAGTGAGAGAGGTGGAGGTGAAGGGGGATGTAAACAATTCCAGGTCAGATGGAACAGAATATATTTACAGAAGGTACAGTTTAGTAAAAACATACGTACACCTTATCTTTAGTCTTCCATTTGCAAAAGTAAATTACTGACTATTTCCTCCTACAAACCTTCTGGTACTCAAAATATACTGATCACGTTATGCATTTCGATTTCCTTCCATTCTTTTTTTTGGTAGTCACTTTTAGGCAACGCTACGTGCTGCATACTACTTATAAACTACTTTGTGAGTAGCATCCACTACAGTCGCTTCTCATCAAACTGTCGAGCCTGCAGGCGTTTTGTTCTGCATGGTTCTGTCATCGTTCGCTGGATCATTATTTCTGATCCATTAGTCGACTAAATCTATTTTAGCTGACTAGCGTTCACGCTTTGTTCTATGTTACCTTTCATGATAGTATAGACCGGTACGTGGCTTGCGATGACCACGTATGGTCCTTCTGATTCAAGAAGCCGTTTTCCTGCACGTCTTGCTATCCGATTTCTTTTTCGATTGTTGGATTTGTTGTGAAATCGCTTAGATTATCACAACGAAAAATCAACATATTTAAAGCCAAAAACGTTCTGCATATTTTATTTTATGTCAGGTAGTAATTTTGATGGACACTACTCATAACTTGGCTTACAAATAGTACGCAGTAGAGTTTGGTTCAGAAGTTACGGCCGAAGAGAATAATATCAGATCCGAATGATATGGGGCGAACAAAGTATTTTGAAGACCAGAAGACAGTTGATAATCTCCTTGTTTTACAAATAGAAGTCTAGAAATAAGGTGTACTTTTTTCTCAGTAAACTATGTCTTTCCATCTGATCTCGACATCTCCGTTCATCACTGTACTACAAGACCTTACTTACTAAAACAAACATAAATCCTCAAGATGAGTATGTGAACTTGTGTGCAAACTTGTATAAATAACATTGAGCCACATCTCTAAATTGCAAGGGTTTGTGATACAACCGGATTATTCAAGTTGAAGTAAACGGAGATGGAATGAAACCCAACCATTCTGGCGATCGAGGTAATATACATGAAAAATCTAACCATCTAAAATGTAGATTGATTGTGAGTAATGACCACTGTTACATTTGTCTAACTTCTGATAGTGATGCTGGAATTTTATCGATTAAGTGGCTGTCAGATTGTCACTCCAAATGATTCAACACTGTATACATATTATCATGGTCAAAATGTTTTTTTAGAGTTGACAACACAGACTGAATGATTGATGGTTAGACAATTATTAAAAAATAGAGTGTATTGGACAGATACTTCATCTCAGTGTGAAATTTCCCACTGTTGTAACGCTTGCTTCGATAATTCCCAGCTAATTCCTATTGCTTAGAATTCTCTGACAACAATACACTGGACAAGTTCCAAAGAATCAAAAGAACGGTGGAACAGGAAAAGATTATATTCCAAATAGCAAGGTTAAATGGAAATAAGAAGCCAAAGGTGATGGCGATGGCGAAGGCGAAGGCAAAATAGATGCAACGTTAGTTTCTTTATAGCATTTATATGAGAAGCTTCTGGATAGTAATTCACGTGATCGACTGGATTAGATTTAGCCAATCAAAGTGCAGCTGACAACACGAGAATTGTCTACCCTGTTCTCCAAGAATCGATCAGGCGCTGACTGGATATGAAATTAGCCAATCAGCGCGCAGCAACGTGGTCATGTTTTAATTCCATCTATGTCCCACTAACACTCATGAATCAGGAACAACACTAGGACCTTCAGATCATGCAACAAATGTGTAGGACCTTTACATCACTAAGCTCGCATTCATTGGTGTGCAGGTCTAACTTCCACAGATCCACGACATTGCATATCCATCTACCAGTGCCTATGATAGATAACTGTTGCTCACTTGATATGCTTTAAATCCAATGGTCATGAATTTCCCATAAAATTCTTGCAAACAACTTGTGAAGTTAATCCCCGACAAACAAATGATCATTATTAGTATATGAGAGTTGCAGAGATAGTTGAATGGGCTTAATCATCGAAAACCAGGAGATACGGGACGGCTATTCCATTTTAGTACAATATTCTTCGATGACAACAGTGCGCAACCACAACTTCAATGAGGATTAGATCTAGCATCTTCACAGTCTTATACAGAGAGCACTTAATCTTCATATGTGAATATTATAAATAAGAACTTACTGGTAAGAAACAATTTTATCATTCTCAGCACCATCCAACAATGGAGTTTTCCATGAGACAGTCAGTGTACCATAATTCCATGATTCAGCAGATAAATCTTTTACAGCAGGAGGACGATGAACTTAGGAAATAAGAAAAAAATGAATACAGAAACACAGAAGTGTTTAATTGAATAAAAGACCATTCATAAAAAAGTGTTTATTGTAGTAACGAACTCAGACAACTGTAGACCGTAACAACAGCATAATACTGTTCAACGTAATAATTGTGTATACAAAAAATTATCGACATTAGGATCAACCTTGGATGGAATTGAACTTGCTATCTAATATAAACTAAACAACACAAGTTAGTTAGTAAAAATTCCTGATGTTTACAAAAGGCATACGAATTGAGATTTAATTCTAGAAAACACAATAGTTGTTACACAAACAACAGCAAGATATACATTACAATTAAACAACACAACACAACTGTAGCTGCTATCTTGACATGGTGGTCGGGATTGTCTATCGTGATGACCCAGTCGAGCCATATTGGCTATAATATACTAGGCAGGTGTATTGAAAAGCGATAAGACTAAGCAACATAAGGTCTGAAGGCGAAGTTGTATTGTTGACTACAGACGGGTGTGACAGAAGTAAGGTGTTTCCCTCGGACAACCAGTATCTGCAACGATACTACCTTTTCACAAGGAAGGAAGGGGTTAGAAAAAGTCGATCATAAAAATGTCACACCTCACGCCTGGTGTGGTGTGGCCATTTGAAGAGTGAAGTTAACACGTCAACTTACTACAAAAAGACAATGCGTGACCAGTCTCAATCAGATGTCCACTGGGCTCTGCGATCACGCTCTCAGGTCGCTAAGACCAATGCTAGCCCAACTTTCTTTACAGGGTTCCTAAAGAAATACCTTTCTACAGTATGGACAGCCGGGAAGTAAAATGCACCTTCATACCCGTAACAGCACACAGGACCGAATCGTTCATAATACAATCGCTCCTATACCTCTTTATAATTGATTGACTGTACAAACAAACAAACAAACAATCAAACGTATATATATATAACTACATTGATCAGATAGATTAAATAGATTTTAAAACATACTCAATGGTTTTGTAATAAATTGAACTGATGCAAAATTATTATTATTGTGATTACTAGATCGTTGTTGAATGGACTCATCAGTTAAAGCTGGAAATATTTTAAGTAAATATTTTGTTTCTGGTTGAAGATCAGCCAGTAGAATAACTGATTTCGTTGTATTCACAGTAAGGTGTCTGTAGATAAAAGAAAAAATAAGTATATATATAAATGTAATATAAACAGAATGAATAAAATTATTTGTCATAAGCTTGACAAATCGTTGACTTATCTTTTGGAATACATCCGTAAAGTTAGACATTTACTCCTTTGGATGCCGACCCAGTAGTCTAGAGGTTAAGTAAGCATTTGTGTATGAGACCAAATATTCTCTGTTCGATTCTTGTATGCAAAGTTGTGGATATGCACTACTGAAGAATCCTACACTAAATCAAACCTGTCGTCTATGACGTGCAGGTTTCCGATGGTAGTCTAGTTAAGGTCAGTTCGTGATTTCAACTGCGAAAATACTACAATTTCCATAAGTCACCGATACTAATAGCAATCATTGGCTCACCAATTACTAGTTTCAATATGTACCGCTAGAGTTGTGGTGAGCGGCTGTGACCGCTGGAGCTCAATCTGTAAAGGGTATAAAACAGCCATCCGCTGCAACAAATGGCTGAAGAGTTGTGCAACATTGTGGATTGATTGAAGCTTGACACTAACACCGTTGGATACTGGTTCAGCAGTCTAGAGGTTTAGCGTTTGCGTGCAACCACAGATACTGGTTTCTATACTAACACAAAACGGTTGTTGTCTAGTGCTTCCAAGGTTTTCAATGCTGGTCTAACTTAGATTGATTCATGATATCAATAAAATAGTAAATCATAATACTTCATAGGAAAAAATTTTAAAAGTTATGCATCTCCACAATATTCGTCCCAATATTTGAAAAAAATATAAAATTATCATTAATAGAAATACACTTGATTCATTCATTACCCTGGAGTATCATCTGATTCAATTTGTATAAAATACATAATTGGTTTTGATAAATACCATTCTGGTTCATCCCACATAACATAAGCATGTGTATCACTGATATTCCATACTCGTATATTAGTCGGTACAAACATATACATATTATTATTATTATTATTGTCAATTCCATCTATAAAACGAAAAACGAATGAGAGAGAGAAAATTATCAAAAGTTGGATAGTTGCTCTTAACAATAGTAATAATAATAATAATAATGTTATTAACAGATAAAATATTGATTACTGTTCAGTGATTAAACAATTGTAAGCAGATCTGCCATACATGCAGGTTAAATATTGCTTGAATACCTGTTAGGTTCGTCACTAGGTATGCTTGAAACTATTACAGGTTCACCATAGTCGATAAACGGGAACGAGACAATGAACCGGCGTCCAGGTAGGCTACCCTGATCATCTCCCGACTAATGAAAAGTCTTAATGTAGCGTAGAAAGTATATTCTACAAACACCCAACACACACAATGCAATCAAGCACACAAATCTCGTTTATTTATTTATACATCATAGGAACGTCCTTGGGACAGTCACGAAAATAGCACACTAAAATACACAGTAGCCAATCACAGCCAAGGATTTTCCTGGTAGGAAATGAAATCTCAAGGTCAACTGATCAGCCCATGCTCGCAAACGTGAAATCCAAAATAAGGTATTTATCAAGCAAATTCCGGGGATCCAACGTCCCCGAAATACCTTAGTAGTATCGCCTCAAATTGTAATTCATAATGACAGAATGAAAAGTTATTTGTAGCCTAGATAGATGATTTTGTGATTGTGGTCATATGATTGTTTCTTTTCAAGACATCATCATCAACATAAACTACAGACAGAATTGAAATATTCGAATTTCTCTATGTGCATGATTCGCCGCTCGGCCTGTCGACCTCAATTTTGATTGGTTGGCTAATTGGATCCAATGGATCAGGACAACAACAGGTCATAATGGTTAATAACAACCAATCAAGGTCGAGGTCAATAGAACAAGCTCATGAGTAATACACTTGGAGAATTCCGAATAACACTCACTTCTACCTGAAGTTTATGCTGACGATGTTGTTGTTAAAAAGAACAATGAAAACTCCATTGTGATCAATTTTAATCCATCTCATCCAACATTTTTTACCATCATTGGTCATGGTTATCACATGGACTCGAAACAACATTTATCAATATGAAGTTCAGATGATTGTAGGAAATGATATGATATCTTGGTTTTGTCATCTATAAACTTTCTTCAGACTAACTCCTACACCAGTATCTATGACATATCTTCAAGTTAATTAGATCAGCAAATATTTACAACCTCATCATTTTTTTTGAGTGATACATTTTCACCGTATACTACTCGTTATTTTACACTATAATCTTATTAATGTATCAATGAATCCATGTCAATCTTTTATTGAATAATTGAAACTTAAAAATTAACAAATAAATTAAATATTTAACACATTACCATTTATATAATCATTTAAATTTGACTGTAAAACACGAAGCATAATTGTATGTTGAACAGAACCAAATCTATTTTTTAAAATAAAAACACAAAAAGGAAGTATAACATAACATTAGACAAAATACAGAGAGAGACAAAGCGAGAGTGAGAAAGGAAGATTAATGCACTTATATATATCGAGTGTGTCAAGTTGAAAAGAATATTCTTAATTGATGAAAATCATATGATTGTTATGTAATTAGTTATTAATATGTGTCCTCAGTAGTGACTAGCTTCGTAAGGAAATTCTCGGAGTTCCAGTGAGAAGAAGTGACCCATCAATCCTGTTGGGTGTAGGCAGTAAATACCAAAGACAAATGGGTGAGGTCGCGCAAAATCTCTAGATTGATCAGAGTTAAACATTAACACCATTAGGTGCTGGCCCGGTGGTCTATAGGTTAGGCGTTCGCGCACAAGACCTAAGGTTCCGAGTTCGAATCCTGCGAGATGTAGGAGTCGTGGATGCGCACGTAAACGGCCTCCCAGTGCTTCTAGGTCTCTGAAGGTGGTCTGACGATGATTGATTGATTGATGATTTAAACGTGTAAAAACACTAATCTCCATGATAATGAAAGAAGTGACTGTGAACTCTAAAATTGAATTTCTACTGCAGTGTGATTAGAATACAACATCTCGAGAAAAAAGATAAATCAAAAAGAAAACTATGGATTACTGTCATGAGTATGGGTATAGTGTAGTTACAGTATAAGCGGCTGTTATGGAGCCAATCTAGTCACACAGAAAGATCCCATGTCATTTAGTTGAAGGCGGAAACATGATATGACCGAGAAGCTGAACAGCTAAGCCTTTATTCAATGGGGAATGAGTGTAGAGTTAATAAATAGTTACTCATATCATACAATTATTTGATATCATTATATATTGTCCTATCAAATAGTATCACATTCATTTATTTTTTAACAACCACACATACATCTCATTCATTTTTCTAAACATTCTCTCATCTAACACGTATCTTCAAAGCCAATACAGTCAGTCGACTTAAACAAAGTTCAATAATCAATTCAGCTTCACTTCCCAATAATTAAATTAAGTCGATGTTTAATCTATTGCATACAATCAAAAGTAGACAAATTTTCTTATGAAATCTATTTTAAACACTTTTATTTACTTAGCAAACATCAATGGGAAATGGAAGAAAAAAAATTTAAAAAAAATTAATTTGACAAAAAAAATTGGCAATTGAAAAACAGTAAAATTTAATATTGAACTCAAACTAGAAGTAGAATGTAGCCATTTTCTTAGAATTAAAATAAATGAAAGATAACCAAGTTATATTGTTTTTATATGAAAGCTGAAGATAATATTTGAGGTCCTAGGTTCGATTCCCGCTAGTGAAGTTATTGATGTATCCTGCTGAGCAAGATTATACTTTATTCATTCATTTATTTAAACACATAAACATTGGTACAACGCGACACTTGAATATTTATAAGCCACACAAATCATTGAATTTGTGAGTGGGCTGAGATACTGACTAAGTGCTCAAACCAAAACAGGTAGTTTTCTTAAAGAGGACACTTTCTGAGCCTTTCACCTATAAGCCTAATCCACAAGGCGGTTGGACAACACTAGGCGACGCGACCCTGTGGTAACCGGTGGCCAACAATAAGTTCATACATTATATGTCCTCTCAGATTACTGGGTCCCATGAGCATAAGTGGTTTCAAATCAGGGTTTTCCGATTACGCTATGTGAGTCCTCCATACCCCTAAACTCGGTTTAAGCTCTGACCAAACATCTGCTTTCCATCATCCCCATTTCTTAAACAAAATCCCCTGCCTCAAGAAGGCAGTGAGCAAGACTTCCATAACAGTGACTGTAAACTTCTGGTCGAATGAAAGTATTTTGACAGGAAAAAGGACTTCGCCCACTCTCAGTTGTACCAAGACATTAAGTGGAATATACTTGGATGAAACGTTTTCAACGGTGATTTATTTAACATCAATTCATCATTTTGCAACCATCAAAATTCTACAATCTCCACAATCCCCCCTCCCATTACACTGATAATATTGGATTACTTAAACCCAAGTGAAGAGGTTACTCGAACACACAATCAACTGGATAAAAGTTGACTTCTGTCATTGAAATGCAATAAAATACAAGTAGACAAACGCTTGCCTGACCAATCAACACTCTTCACGGGAAAAGAAAAACTATATCATGAATCGAATCAACATGATAAATGATATCGACAAGAAATTAATTACCTGTTCTCTGCTAAACATTGAAAATACCCGAAATCATTTGATAAAATTCGTTGTATTTTAATTTGTGTCATAATTTGTTGTTGATATCGGTCATGGGGATGATCAAGTTGATCTGATTGATTGGGAAATTCAGTAACATTATTTGTAATACGAAAATATTCACTATTCTGTATGATTTCACCATTTTTACGCCATTGTATAATTGTTGGATAATATGTTTTAAAATTACACCATAATATTTGTTCAAACTGTAATGGTATAGAGAAAAATTATATATATATATATATATATATATATATATATATATATATATAATGAATTTGGATTTACAGTCTAACGCTTTACCCAACCGTAGCCGCTATCTAGACGTAATGTTTAGGTTTGCCTATCGTGATAACTCAACCGAGCTACATTGGCTGGAACACCCGTTCCTGTAGGTTCTACGATGCTGGGCATGTCGAATGAAGAACGAGACAACTAAAGCAAGAACTCAAAGTCTGAAGGCGAAGTTGTACTGTTGACAGAATCGGCAATGTTGTCCTCTTACAACGAAAGGAAGAAGTCAGGAAAAGTGGAACCTAAAAAATGTCTCACCTCACCTAACCTCACAGTTTTTCTTCTCCGGTGATAAGGGCTTTTAAAGAGAGCGGAGCTAACACTTTAAAAACTTCCCATAAAAACGCCGTGCATAATCCTCCTCAAGCAGTTGTCTCTTGGGTTCCACAGTCACGTTCCCAGGTCGCTAAGACAAATTTTAATCAAATTTCCCTTTCAGGCTCCTCAAGAAACACGCTTCCAAGGTGTGTGCAACCGGGAAGTGACATCCACCCACATACTCTTAACAGTACACGAGATCAACTTGGTCTAATGGTTTTAACTCAGGAAACCAACCTAATTAACTGTTTTATGAAATTCCCGATTTCAATATTGAATCAAACCAGTTAAAATAAAATCGATTACGAAACAACTAACTATGTAGAGCAACGATTCAAGTACTTAGGATTCTGGACTACAATTTTTTAAAGCATTAGATTGTTCTGGAAATCAGGTTTAGTAACTGCTAATATATGGGTTTCTTTGGGGTTTTTTTTTCAAGATTCCGTTGTTTATCCTTCTCAAACAGAAATATCCACCTCAACTTCGATGCGTACTTCAAAATGAGGATTTACAACATATATATCACTTTTAATACATATCGATTACTTTGATGTGAATACTAACTAATCACGTATAATTATTACTAATTTACAATTTCAATAACCGAGCTAACGGAGATCATATATGATTTAAACAATATGAAGAAAAATATTCTATCTTTAAACACATATAAAGTTTTAAAAAAAAACAAGTTATACACCTTTTTCGAGTTGTTACTTTTATTCAAATTGAACATCTCAGTTTAGTAGAACTTTAATTAAACATTTACTGAAAATGAACACAAAACTAGACACATCCCTGTCAGAAATTAAATCTTTAATCCAGTCTATTACCTTTAAATTAAAATGAGTTAGCACATCTAATGAGTGAAGTAGGTCACAGCTACTTACTTCACTCGAATACAAGTCGCAACGTGAAAAATATCTTTACTTAACTTCTTTTTTAGACCAAAGATGGATAGGAGCTAGCAGCGGAATCCTAAATGAACGTTTCATCCCACTTAGGACTTATCAACTGGATATAGCTGCATCTCAGAGTTAATGCCCACTCCACAAATCGAAAGCAGTAATGTTCGCTTTAAACGACATCACGTTATCCATTTAGTCATCCCATTATACAAGCCAGTAGCTAAATGGATAACAAATTGGCGCATGAAGCGAAAGGTGCTGAGTTCGAGTCCTTGGGCGCACATCTACCCTGAGATGCAGGTAAAGTAATTCCAATTGCAGACGAGACTTAAACAGAACAACATGCGTCTCCGAGACTGCATTGCTAGCTATCATCCATCACTGCATAAAGATGCTTACAACTTTTAGTGGTAAAATATCGAATCAATCCGCATAAGATGCACACACATGCAAAAAAAGAAAAATTAATCAACTACAGTCCTAAACATTAATGAGAAGAATTCAAACAACCAATACAAATGTATGATGAAATAAAATGATAATTTTACAAATTATTTATCATTAATGAGCAAGAAAACAAAATTTTCCATTATCATTCTGTTAGGATATTCATCCAATATCCTAAGAGAATTATTTTTTTAAGTCTAATTCTATTGGTCGATTCCTACTGGTCAATATTGTGTTCGTCCTAGCTATCATTGTCACGTACACCAATGTTGTTTCTTATTGGTCGTCTTAACTGTCAATGTCAGAAACTTCGATGCTGTTTCCTATCCGACCTAACTGTATAAATAAGCACTATCTGTGACGTTTTATGACCCGGATCCGGATCCCAAGTCCGGGATCCTGATTCTCTCCTGGACTCAGACCTCGTACTTTCTGGATGCTTGTAGAAAACACGTTCTACTTTATATCAAGTCTTCTTCTTTTACTCAATGGGGGTTTGGGACAATCGGATTAGAGTAGCGTGTCGCGTTGCCGAATCCTCGGTCCTCGCTCTCGTTTATTGACTACGGGAAACTCGTACTAGTTCAAGCATATCAATTTGACATGTTTACGTGCATGCCTAACATATTCATTAACTCACATGTAATTTTGCTTGTAATTCCATTGGTGAAGCATTAATTAGAACTGGTGAATTGCCAACAATCAATTGAATTCTTGTTTCTTTCAATATGGAGTTATTTAAAAAATTCACAACTTGACATGAATAAATTCCAGTATCTTCCAATTGTGCATTATTTATTAAGAGGCTACCACTGCCAACTATACGGGAATGACTAGAATTATTGAAAGATGAAAAAGTGGGAGAGAGAGAGAGTTAGAAAAATAAATGAATGGATTTTCTTTTCCTTCTTAATTTTGAGAAAAATATTCTTCAACTAATTAATTAGAAAATTAGATTCAAAAGATAGAATAATCATGAGTTCTTTTTTTAAAATTGTCAAAATCAAAGAAACAATCCAAATGTTATTGAAAACTTTGTTTCTATCAACAACACAATCAATTCATCAATGGTTTTAATGGTCTCTTTGTGTGAAATCAAGGACTGGACTGATGTTTAATCAGCCTTAGTAGGTATAAGTGCATCCATCAGCTTGTAGGGATTGATTACTTTGATATGGTCATTTCATCAATAGTTTGTATCAAACAGATGGATTGTGGCTAGAAGTGGAATCCACAATGAATGGTTCATTCTGATTGATATTTATCAGTTGGATACACTTGGATTGCATTGTACAGCGTTTATCTTGCTGTGACCCGAATTCAATGCCTTTCGGGCAGAGTTTTGGAGGTTTGTGTGTTTATACATTTGAAATAACCAATCAATTATTGTTAGACCACCATTAGAAACCTGAAAGCACTGGACGGCCGTTTCGTCCTGGTATGGGACTCATCAGCAGTGTGCATCCACGACTCCTGCACCTCGCAAGTCGAAAATATCGTAACAATCCTTACTAGTGACTAGCTTCGTGAGGAAATTCTCGGAGTTCTAGTTGAGAAGACGTGACCAATGGAATTCAACCCTGTCGGGTGTAGGCAGTAACTACCAAAGACAAGTGGGTGAGGTCGCGAAAAATCCGTAGATCAATCAGAGCTAGACAATAACACCGATGGATGCCAGTCCAGTGGTCCAATGGTTAGGCATTCGCGCACAATACCGAAGGTCCCGGGTTCAAATCCTGCGAGCAGCGGGATTCATGGATGCGCACTGCTGATGAGTTGTACCATACCAGGACGAAACGGCCGTCGTGCAGTGCTTCCAGGTTTCTAATGGTGGTCTAACAATGATTGATTGGTGATTTCAATGCCTTTCGCGTAAAACGCCTAATGTATATTATCCACTGAGCTACTGAATTGAAGTAGCTGCTCGTTTATGCAATAGGTATAATATTTGATATCATTATTCGAAATAGTTTTAATTATTCCAGTGTTATTACTCAGAACTGAATTCCGACCAGTATATGCATCCTTTGTGTGTATTACCTCGAAAAACAATAGTTACGGCTGCCTTCATCACGTAAATCAATTACGTTATTTTACTCAATCATCAAAGTTATATATAAACAACTTACATTAAATTCAAAGAAATAAATAAATAAGACAAAAATAATTCTTCCACTAAAATATCAACCAACACTTCATCATAGTCAGTATGAATGAAAATAACAGCATTTACCACTTGCATCATCAACATTCTTAGAAAAATAACACCATAAACACCGGAACACCGACACACAAACAAACAAAATAGAAGACAGAAATTCTCAATAACCAAACAACTAAATAAAGAGATTAATTCCTTATTACTTTAACTTGAACAACAACTTTATATCTATGAACAATGTGACTAGATTTAAGCATTTCATTCAGAAAAATAATTCGAGTGTGAAAAAAAATTAATCACAACCTGCGACAACGCGATAAGTGAGAACATAGGCAGGTAGGTAGGTAGGTAATAATAATAATAATAATAATAATAATAATAATAATAATAATAATAATTGTTATTATTGCTGAAATCTCGTTTTTTAATCCATCTTAAATGTAACAACGTAATTTACAAACTGTTTTGTACATGTATACATGCATGTGTATGTGTATGATAGTGAGAGAAAAGGAGAGAGAGCGAGAGTGGGAGAGTGAAAGAGATAAATACAGAGGTTAAAAAAAACACAATTACAACACAGATAACAACAGCAACAACAAAATATCTATATCTCTTTGTTTTTCCATGGTTGATATATATACATAAAGTCAATGAACAATAAATATCAATCATACAATGAGGGCAGTGATAAACATTTTAGTCATAAACAGATACTTAAAAATGGAAAGAGAGAGAGAGATAACAAAAAAAAGTAAGAAAGCATAACGAAAAGTCTCCACTTGGTTGTAGATTTTATGATATCAGAAATAGTCTAATGTAGTAAAGATAAAATCAGATTCCAGGTGAAGAGGAAATTAGACAGAAACGATGGAGGTGGATAGATAACACTTTACAACAAGTCGTCATTATAGGATTGACGAGATTGTTGAGTTTCATTGAAATCATGATTCGAACATTGTGAGACCATGAATAAAAAATCTGGAAGTACTGGATGACCGTTTTGTTCTAGGATGGGACATACGAGCACTGCGTGTCTACGACCTCTACAACAGGGAGTCGACCTTCGGTCTCACGCGCGAACGCTTAACTTCTAGACCAATGAACTGGCACCCAACGGTGTTAATGTCTGCCTTCAATCAATGCACGATATAATGCAACCTCATCCATTTTCTTTGGTGGGTAACTGTCTACACCCGACAACTTCACTGGTTGCCGTTTCTCACTAGAACTCCGGATATTCCTTTAAGAAGCTAGTCACTAGTGAGCGCATGATAAATGTCACTACTAAGGATTGATTGAAGTTAGACATTAACACTCATGGATCCCTGCCCAGTACTCTGGAGGTTAAGCATTCGCGTGTGACACCAAAGGTCCTGAATTCGAGTCCCAAATACGGAGGTTGTGGATACGCACTACTGATGAGTCCCATACCAACACGAAACGGCCGTGCACTGCTTCCAAGTTTCTCCTGGTAGTCTAACATTGAACGATTCATGACCTACATTTAAAGAAACCACCAAATTGAATCACAAAGGCAATCCTCAAGTTAGAATAAGAGACAAGGAATCGCAGACAGGCATCAAAAAGAACGAATAACGATTGAGAACAATTCAAAAGAGAACTTAAGACAGAGAAAGTTGGAGACTTCTAGTTATTGGCCTATACTCCACAAGAGGTAACAAGTATAAGTAAGACGTCAAACAATAAGTCTGTTCCAGTTTAAATCAATGTAAATTGATTTTCGAAAAAATAACAATTACGTTTCAACTAATGGTTGGTTATTGCTCTAAAAGAGATATCACAGAGAAAAAAGAGACAAATCTAATGTTTTCAACATAAATTGTACCAGCTGTGATGAACAGTACATTGAACAAAGTGAACGCTCTTTTCAGCTACGCATACAAAAAACACAATCAATTAAAAACGAAAAGATATGCGACTACTGATATCAATGCATAGAGACAACTAAGGACACGCTTTCAACTAGGAGAAGTAAGTGAATTTCTGGTAAGTTTTAGATCGATAAATTCAATTTACTGGTCTATTTAGAAAACCTACAGGAATAACCTGACTAAATATCTACGGCATAACACAATAACGAAAACAACTGAAGTAAACGAAACCTACTAGGATAGCCAATCGAAACACCACTGAGATAAACTGATTTAAGCCTCGTGAAATAATTCACTTCGAAATGAAAAAATTCTTAATATCATTCACTACAACAACGATGGCGTCAGAAATAAGCCATCTAGCTCATAAAAACTGAACAATATATACATATATATATATATATATTACCTGGAACTTGTTTGTAACAGTTTCTCCGATAAAATTTCATTATCTTTCTTCCATTGAATACCATAACCATTAGTTAATCGATTTGAATTAAACCAAATTATATTAGAACGATCAAAAACATGTATATTATTGTTATTCAACTGACGAATATTGCATGCGCATAAAAGTGTAATTGTAGAATTCACTTTACGCCATAATTCATAATCCTGTTGTTGGGATGATGGGCGATTATCTGTAGAAAACTGTTGATTTCTAATATTATAACTAGATGATAATGTCGATGATGATGATGACGATGATGCAGTCGGAACACTTTCAAGAGAATGCATAAATATAGATGGAAATTCAACTTGTACCAATTCATACGGTTGAACAGACCAAGTAATAACAGCATCTATATAAAGTGAAATGTTTTTTTTTAGGTGAGACACAAATAATCGCATACAACTTACAACAGTGCATAAGAAACAATAACTTGCATTAAAAAACATTTAACTATATCAGATCAAGAGAGAGAGCGATGACCTTGAAGTATGAGCCATTTCGATCGATCAGGAGTGAGTAATGATAAATGAATGATTTACCATGCTAGGAATGAAATCATGATTCCTGCTACTCGCAGGATTCGAACCCAGGACCTTCGGTCTTGCCCGTGAACGCCTAACCTCTGGACCACTGAGCCTGTGTTCACGGGCAAGACCGAAGGTCGTGGGTTCAAATCCTGCGGGTAGCAAGAGTCGCAGATGCTCCCTGTTGATGAATCCTCTACCAGAACGAAACGGACGTCGTCCAGTGCTTACAGGTTTCTAATGGTTGTCTAACATTGATCGATTCATGATTTTAATAAAGTAACTCAATAAATCTTCACAACAATTTCATGTAAAAATAATTTTAGTACTCATATTTTATAGCTGATACCAGTTCACAATAAAATCGGCGAGATAAAAACTTATAGACGATTTTAAGCGACACCAAAGTGGCCTCGAGAAAATTCACCGACTAGCCAGAGTCCACAAAGAGAGTTATAGAATAGTGTGAAGAGTTAGAATTTACGGTTCGAAATAAGATTGACACCTATTGTAATGTTGAAAATACTGTTTAGTCATATGTACGAATAAATTTCGCGCCAAAAACTGAATGATAGTCTAGTCATAAAATACTTAAGCGCGACACACCTACCCTAAAATTAATTACTAGTCCTATTTATGATAAGAACACAGTTACTTTTTTCGTTGTCCTTCATTAGTTTAGATAATCAACTATGCTTAGAATGATTGTATTAGTTTAAAGTGGCAATTCTCAGTCAATCAGTAAAGGGGGTTGGTTGGTTTAAGTTGAAATTCTTTGAATAACAGAAGTGATAATGAAATTATGAGTTTATTTTAATTGAAGATTACTTTCTGCATCATAATAATAATTAAAAATAGTCTTATTAAAAATTCATCACTGTTTACTGATAAAATTATAAAAAAAGATAACGTTATCACCGTATCGATAAAACAATGTAATACTTAAAGTTTGTTATCTACTTTAGTTTTCCTAACTTCATCAGCTTACACAATACATATGAATAAAAGTCCATTTCATTACACAAGATAGTCGATAACTGAACTCAAAAGCTTTAAGGTGTTTGATGAAGTGAACTGCATTGGTTTCGAGTCCTGGAGTTTGAACATCAACTCTGGGATGCAAGTACATTCAGCTACAGACACAAGTCCTACAAAGAACAACACGTAGGTCTTGGATTCCAATACTACTACTAATTACCACTCAGCTCTGCTTTAAACAGCCCTAAATACGGAGATAGAAATACATTGGATAAGGTGGTGAGTGACAATTTCAAGGTCCACATTTTCCAACAACTTTCTTTTGTTTTAAGAAAAAAGCATAGTAGTAGATTCTGGTTGTTTGAGGGGAACATTCAGGTCATCATGATAGGCAAGCCCGACTACCACATCAATGATAATATTTGAGGATGTGAAGCTAAGTAACATTGGTTCAGATTCCACAGGGAACATCAAGTCCCACAAGACTACAAGCACGCCTTGCTAACAAATTGTTTTTTGTACAAAACACTGATCGAACAGAGATTACTGTTAACTACCTCTAGCTAACATTGATGAGCTCGTTAACTGATATGCTTGAAACTATTAAGAGTTCACCCTATGCGGTAAACGAAAGCGAACGAACAAACGATGCAGTGACACGATAGGCTATTCTAATCCGTTTGTCCCCGGCCCAGCTGACAACATCAAGAAGTCTTGATAAGGCGTAGAAGGTGTATTCGACAAGCACGCAGAAATACGAGGTCGAAAAGCACACAAATCGAGCTTATTTATACATGACAGAAACGTCCTTGGGAGAGCCACAAAAATAGCGTACTAAAGTAACACATCAACCAATGACAATCACCCGACCGAAGCTGCTACCTTGACGTGGTGGTCGGGCTTGCCTATCGTGATGACCCAACCGAGCTATACTGGCTGGAACACATGTTCCTGCAGGTCCTACCATGCCAGGCAGGTCGATTGGAGAACGATGAGACTAAAAGCAGCTACCCAAGGTCTGAGGGCGAAGTCGTACTGCTGACTGCAGAGGGGTGTGACAGCAGTAAGGTGTTTCCCTTGGACAACCAGCATCTGCAGCGATGCTGCCTTCTCACAAGGAAGGAAGGGTTAGAAAAGGTCGGCCCTAAAAATGTCACACCTCCCCTAACTCACGGATTTCCGTCTCCTTGGGTAAGGGTGCCCACTAAGGGCCTTTAAGAACGGAGCTAATTCTCAAAATACCTTTCATAAAAAGGCCGTGCGTGACCGGCCTCAAGCAGTTGTCCCTTGGACTCTGCGGTCACGCACCAACACTAATCCATCTTCCTTTTCAGGTTCCTCAAGAAACAACCTTCCACGGTGTGGGCAGCCGGGAAGTGACAACCGCCCTCATACCCATAACAGCACACGTGACCGAATTGGTCAAAATCAAATCCTTCCTAAATTCCCTAATACCTCTCTTATCTCCACAACTAACTCTTCTCACATTCATTTATTACAGTGCACAGCTAATGCAAACGATGCGAGTTTGCGAAACGTCGTTCCTGGTCTCCTTAAACCCCGTTCCAAACTACATGTTGGAGCATTCAATGTACGGACATTGTGTCAAATAGGGCAACAGGCATCATTAGCTAGGACTTTAGAATCTCGTTCCATCGATGTGTGCTGCGTCTCGGAAACGCGCATACAGGATCCGAGTAGCATCACTCATTTGACCTCACCATGTCAAGATAAAGAAGCAGCTCAATTTACCCTTCGTGTATCCGGTAGCCCTGATGCTGCTTCTAGGGGCCTCGCCGGTGTAGGTATAGCATTGAGTCGTAGGGCAGAACAATCTCTCCTTGACTGGATCCCTGTAGATAGTCGCTTGTGCGCCGTCCGACTGAACGGGACAGTAAGGACTCGGAAAGATAGGGACACTTGCCGTTGCCTCTTCGTCATATCAGCCTACGCCCCCACTGACTGCAGCCCAGATGATGTAAAAGATGAGTTTTACAGAAAGCTTTCGGACCTCCTCCAAAAAGTTAAGCGCTCTGATATAGTTATAATGGCTGGTGACTTCAATGCACAAGTAGGTAGACTAAGTGAAAATGAAAGACACCTAGGTGGATGTTACGGTCTCGCGGCTCAAAGAACAGACAATGGCGACCGTCTGTTGCAACTGTGCTCAGATAACCAACTATTTCTAGCAAACACTAATTTTAAGCATAAGGAAAAACACCTTTTGACCTGGCGACCCCCGAAGTCGTCTCAACGTTGGACACAACTAGATCATATCGCCATCAGCCACCGATGGAGGGGTTCGATAGAGGACTGTCGCTCGTTCTGGGGCACATGTTTAGATTCAGATCATGCCCTAGTGCGAGCACGTATTTGTTTGAGGCTTGCTGGACGTAGGAAAGACACCGTGAGGAAGCCTCTTAGGGCTTTACTTGATGATAATCAAGCTAAGAAAATATTTCAGGAGGAACTAGAAAAACAGTTAGGCGACCATTTAAGCGATTCCCATCCGGAAGCAGGATGGAATGATATCAAAAAGGCTGTGGAAACAGCAGTGATATCTGCTAGTAAGGTTGATCATAAGGCTAGAATGAAACCGTGGATCTCAGCAGCATCCACCGATCTGATGGATGCCCGAAAACTCATCCCACCTGGCTCTGAACATGATGAAGAACGAAGTCAACTTAGGCGCAGACTTATAAAAAGCCTACGTAACGATCGCGAACAGTGGTGGGTGGCGAAAGCAAAAGCGATGGAAAAGGCAGCGGCGATCGGCAACAGTAGACAACTTTTCCGTCTTATCAAAGAAACCGGTATTAGGAACCCGAATGTAAGTGAGACTATCTCGGAAAAGGATGGTCTTATTATCCATTCTCAATCTAGGAGGCTGGACCGATGGGCAGAACACTTTAGGGATCAGTTCAACTGGCCTTCAGCCACTCTTCGGTTGCCCACGATCTCCAGTCATCCTGAATGGCCAATCGATTTAAGTCCTCCCAGTTTACATGAAGTTGAGAAAGCTATAGGAAATCTAAGGAGAGGTAGAGCGGCAGGTCCCGATAGGCTTACCCCTGAGATGTTTAAGGATGGTGGTCCAGTTTTAACGGTTAAACTGACCGAGATCCTAGGTAGAATCTGGGAAATGGACGTAATCCCATCTGACTGGTCTCAGTCGCTAATAGTCCCAATCTACAAGAAAGGACAGAAGTCCTCTTGTGACAATCACAGGGGAATAAGTTTAACTAATATAGTTTCTAAATTGTTAGCCTCGATTATACTTAGACGTCTAACTAGAGCTCGCGAAGAGCAGACTCGAGAAAACCAGGCTGGTTTTCGACCTGGACGTGGTTGTATAGACCACATCTTCACACTACGACAGGTCCTGGAACACAGACACACATTTAGACGTCCGACAATAGTCGTGTTCCTGGACCTTAAGGCGGCATTCGACTCAGTGGATCGTGAGGTTCTGTGGCAGTGTCTGTCATTGAAAGGTGTACCAAAGAAGTACATTAACCTTATACAAGCACTCTACTCGAACACCACTGGTCGGGTGAGAGCATATGGCGAACTGTCATCTGAATTCTCTACATCGAGTGGTGTCCGTCAGGGCTGTCCACTCTCTCCATTCTTGTTCAACTTTGTCGTAGACATCCTCTTAGAGTTAACATTAAGCTCGTCAGATTTTTCAGGGGTTGACCTTCTACCAGGAAAGTCGCTTACTGATCTAGAATATGCCGATGACATAGTTCTATTCGGTGAAGACGCTGACAAAATGCAGAGTCTTCTGACTACCATAAGCAACAATGCGAGCATGTTCGGGATGCGGTTTTCCCCCTCGAAATGC